TTTTATAAACTCTTTATAGGGTAGTCACTGTTGTGTTAACGTCTTGAAACTGATCACTCCATTTGAAGGGATGTTTGGTTTTACTGGTTGTAAAAGTTTGTCTGGAGCAGTAAAAACGGAAATCAAAGCATGACTCCATTCAACATGTGTTCCCAAAACAGCAGTACAATGTCTTGCATACAAGTGTCCACAGATGAGCCAGAAATAAACAATATAGGATAATGGCAATATATGATCAAAATATCCAAAGCACCATTAAGACAGTCAGATTAATGTTGATCATACATGTAGCTCACCATTAAAAAAAATTGTGTGGCAGCTCAATAAACTAATATAACAATTAATAGTAAAAGTAAAGTAATAATGATATAGTGTACCTCCTTTGGTTTAGTACCCGGAGTAGTTATTCACCTTTTTCGGAAAGCTCCTCCCACTCTCATAAACTGAGCTCATGGAAACTGGCATAAATTACAATCTCGTTCCGTGAGCCTTGGTTACCCTTATCATCTTCAATAATTCTTTGCGCGCCTAGTAGAGCTTGTACTGACCTTCGGCATGTACTAGGTTGGAAAAGACATATACAAAGATTCATAACGCACGTGCACAGCCACTGGTCAGCTCATTAGGGTAATTCCACTTAAAAAGGAGTGTTGAAAAAGTTTTCAAACTTCATCCAGTTGGTAATCATGTTACAGTATGTCAGAAAAATGCATTAAAAAATAGGGGTCACTGCGCTCGTTTTTGCACAACATGGATGGCCTTTACAGCAACTTTGCGACCGACGAAGTTGTCATTACTTAACCTTAGTAAGCAGAAAGGAGCACCAGAAATTCTAAGAAAAGCACTTATTGCATTAATTTAACAGAGAAGTTAAAAAAATAGACCCTGAACTTGCACTTTAAACCATCTTAGCTAAACAGGAGTTACGATTATACTACAAACTTAAGAATTCTCCGCGTACGCACATACCCAGCACTACCTAAAGACGTCAGTGTTCTTAAAATCAAAATATTTTTTAAGGGAAATTTTAAGCTTTTCTTTAAATCGAGATGTATTCTAGATAACCTTGTTTAATTTGAATTCATCCTTTAAAAAGTGGGGT